AGAAACAGTAGCTTTTTTATTTTGAAAGAGAACCCAAATCAATGTATTAATGATCTGAATGAATACTGTTATAAGAAGAGATGAATCCGATGAAATGATTTAAAGATTTATACCCTCAAAAACTACAAGGAAGAGTGAGGTTGGGCAGTTGATGCAGAAATAAATGGCCAAGGTAGTGACTGGATGGTTGTGGGGATCAATAATGAATTTTCCTTTTAACATGTGAAGTTTGAGATGCACTGACAGCAAGTAGGCAGTATATTAAGACCCAAGCTATCCGGATCCAGGTCAGAGATAAGCATTAAGTATTAATGTGCCATCAGTGCAGCTATGGTGATTAAAGATGTGAGATGAGATGGAATCAGAGAGAGTAAAAACAAGATCTAAAGCTGCACCCCAGCACTTCAACCTGAAGTTTGGGTAAAGAAGAGCCATGAAAAGATCAAGAAGAAACACAAATGATATTAAGTCCCAAGAAGCAAGTGATAGAAGTGTTTCAATAAAGACGGAATGCTGTGTCTAAGGATGATCTTAAATATTCAAAGCTTAAATATTCAAAGTTAAGTTCCCGATGTAGTCACACACTTGTACTCCACACCTTTCAAATAACGTCACTTCTATTAATTACATGTTAAATTTAGCTTTCAATTTGCCAGAAACCCTAATATATCATACTGTTCCAAATACTTCTAAATAACAAATAAGCACAAATAAAAACAATGATATAAGATATATTCTTGGTACAAAGGGGTTAGGGCTATGGAATTGGTTCCTTTCATCATCTCTCTGCTCTAACTCTTACGGGTTGCAAAGTCATTTCTCCTAATCAGATAAAAACACTGACTATCAGCAGGGCCACCCTGCTTGGTCAGCAATTCTGGATGGGAACACAATTGTTTATCTGAGAGACACAGTTCCAAGATGGAAGATAGGGGCACTGCACATCTCAAGGCTGATTCCACTCAAATTCTAGGTGAATAAGCTTTCTAATAGTTCAATTTTTTGTGCTTTTGTGTAAAAGACATCATATCTATGCCTTCCAGCTAGAGTTTAGCACTACAGTCCTACAAATGAATAACTTTTCTGGAACACACTTCAAGTTTTGTCACCATCTTTTATTATTATTATTGTTATTATTATTATTATAACCTGATTTCAATGTTCTATCAAATAATTTAGATAGAGGAAATTCTATACCTTTCATCAAGTTTCATTTAATTTCTTTCACCCTTCAGTTAGATTCAACTCATGTCGTTACTTGTTTGAATGGTTTTCTTCATCTTTTTCCTTATCTGAATCTTGGTCATAATTCTAGAATCAGATGTATTGGCAAGAGGAGATTGAACTTTAGGTCTGTGGATGCAGTGACACCAACCACACATTAGGTTTCTTCAACGCAATGTGCGCAGGGTCACGGAGCATTTGGCTCAGTATTTAAGGTGCAGTTGAGAAGTTCACATGTCATATTGGACTGCCTGGTTCAAGTTCCCGCTCCTCTATTTCGGATCCAGCTTTTTGCTGGTATATTTTGGAGGCAGCAGATGATGGCCCAAATATTGTGGTTCCTTCCACCCTTGTGGAAAACCAGGATGGGGTGCATGGATCCTGGATTGGGCTTGGCCCAGGCCTGGTAATTGTGGGAATTTGGGAAGCTGATCAATCGCTGAAGATTTCTCTCTCTTTTTCTTTCTCTTTCTCTCTCTCTTTCTCTTCCTCCCTCCCTCCCTTCTTCTCTCTCTGTCCTTCTCTTCCTTCTCTGTTCTTCAAATAAAAAACATGAAGGTGATTTTTAAAAATGAACTGTGTCAAGAACCATGGTCAGACTTTCCTTAGCTGTGAGTATTCCATACAGAAGAGTCACAAACACTGCAATTAGGTCAGGGAGAGCCATCAAGGAGCACTGAGAAGACTCATTCACTATTCACTATGAAGAAATTGGTCTGGAACCTGCCATTTGCCTGGCATTGGGAGAGATTCTAGGAGAGAGCTGAGATTCACCCTTCCAGTGGTATCTCTGTACTGGTGATCTGCAGCCAGTGTCTAATTTTATTCTTCAGTAATTGTCCCCTATAGGTGGTAACATATTGTGAGTATTATCCACAACGCTCAAAATACTAAACACAATCTATTTCTATTTTCTAGGGTCTTGATAGCTAAGTGTTTCAAAGAGCTATCTACCTTCTCTTGTTCCCAATAGCACAATCTTGATAGTCAAATAGTAACAGTAACCTAGAATACAGACATTTGGAGTTACTATGTTTACAAACAAATGCTCCAGTGTAACTCCACTTATGTGATCCTCCACAACTGGCCCACAGCAAGACAGCTCAGTTGTTTCCAGGACGCAATGATGCAACTGTTTTTTTTCTCTTTCTCAGTTATGATTATGTAGAACTCCCTTTATGATGAAAATTTCATGGGAACACACACAGACACACAGTGTTTATAAAAATGGAGGAAATTATGTTCATAGCAGCACAATCAGTAATTGCAAAAACATGGAAGCAACCGAAATGCCCATCAGCAGAAGATTGGATAAGAAAGCTTTGGTTCATCTACTCCATGGAATACTACTCAGCTATTAAACAAAACAAAATGCAGTTCTTTGTGGCTAAATGGGCCCAACTGGAAACTATAATGCTAAGGGAAATGAGCGAATCCCAAAAGGTTAGATACCACATGTTTGTCTTAATTTAACCTGTCATTGATACTGTCTCAACACACGTGTTTTGAAAAATTGAACTTGCATTATTTTTAACATATCGTTTACTCAATACTATGTCAATCAATTCCATAACACTATATATTGTTGCTGACGTTTTGTTGGGGCTTTTAACGGTTTGGGATCTTACTCTGTTAGCTTTGCCTTCAGACCACGGAAGGCCTCCCCAAGAAGCCGTTGAATGTTATCAGGACAAATAGATGCTGGACTAAATGCTGGGTGTGTGCTCGCAATGAAGGAATCTCAACTGAACTTGAACTGTGGTTATGCCCCATGGGCGGAGGGTTGTGGGAGGAGTGGGGGAAATCCAAGCACCTATAAAACTGTATCACATAATACAATGTTATTAACAATAAAAAAATTAAGATAAAAAAAGAAATATAATTAGTACTATTACTTCAGTGTAAATTTTGATGATGTTCAGTAAAGTGTAACTTTGGGGAAAGGTAGTGAAGGGCACATGGGCTATCTCTATACTGGTTCTTGCATTTGCAGATGACTCTAGAACTGCTTTTTAAGACAATTTGAGAAGGGGTACGGCAGATTAACCCCCATTTGGCAGCCTTGTGTCCTGCATTGGAATGTCTGCAATTGAGCCCCATATCCACTTCTGGCCTGGCTTCCTGTGAGAGGCAGCAGATTACATTCCAACCACATGGATTCCTTCCACCAACAGGAGAGATCTAGATGGAGTAAATAGCTCCTGGCTTCTGTTTAGCTCAAGGTTTTGGGGGAAATAAGCCTGTGAGTACAAGATGTCACCTTCTGTTTCTGTCTTCCTCTGTCAGTCTGTCCTTCAAACAAATAACTGATTTTTAATAAAGAACTATAGTATCAACATTAAAATTTGGCTTTTTAAATGCTAAGGAATAGATTCATCATAGCGTTAAAGCCTATTTATTTTAAAAGTCAATGTTGTCTGTCCCCAAAATAGCCAACAGTGAATAGGTAGTTTTATTTTTCCCCTAAGCATTCATCCTCACTCAGCTCTGAAGTTATCACCAACACATGTTATTTAAGGGTTTCATTTATAAAAAATAACATGTGCAAACAGCTTTTACATGCTGTTTTCTTATTGACATGAAAATATTAATATTAAGCCAATGTCCTACAGGTAAATATGCACATTATTTATAATCATCAATAATAAGCACATTCATCAGCATGGTTTTTGATGGCAGAAAACTGGAAATAATCTAAGTGTTCAGAATAGGTAACATGCTAACTGCATTTTGACACAAACTGAATTGAAAAAATAAAAACAGCTAAACTGTTTTGAAGTACACTTAAGTACTTCAAAAACTTAGTAGAAAATAGAATTGGAAGAAAAGTTTACTTTGATACAAAATCTTTGAAATCTACACACAGTTTTCATCATAGTTTGCAAACTTTTTGAAGACCTCTGATATGCATGAATGTCAACATTTTTGCACCAAAATAAATTTGCCTTTTAATTCCATTTCTTATGAACTGCTGGAATATCCTTATATATATGGCTTTCTATGTATGCATGTTTATATGTATACATATATATGTTTATTTGGTAAAGAACAGATATTTAAATGACAATAGAAATTTCTCTATGATGACATCACATATATGCTAATTTTCCTCTTATGACTCATCCAGAATTTTTGTGTACATTTTAAATACATGTTCACAAAACAAAGCATCTCTTTATCATCAAGTTCCATACAGAACAGTGTATTTTTGCCAGTCGATCCTGGAGGTCTGAAGATGTTCACAGCTTTCTATGATGAGAGTGTTTTCATCAGGATGCCAAGTTTCAGACAGTAACTTGACACGTCATGGTTCAGCTGCACGATCATGGAGTGGTAAAGCTGCCCACTTCCGACTGCCCACATTTGCATTCAGTTTTATGACTGTAAGGTAGGGAGGCACTACTGTTCTAATTCTCATTGACTAACTATGAAGATCGACTGTTACAGACAGTGTATTTCTGGCTTCTCCAGAACACAGCCTACTGCACACGCTAAGGCTCACAGAATTTCCAGGAGCCTGACTTTAAAGGAAGACTAGGGAGGTACCCTCTGTTCCTCTGACAATATGATCAGTGATTCCACACCAGCAGAGCCTCATTCACCTTGGAAATTAGTCCTTTAAACTTCTCAGTTCTAGTTTTTGTTGTATTTTATTTATAATTTGATCTTACTCATACATAAGCACAATTGAGTACAGAGATGGAAGGACAATTTAGGTTTGTGTTGTACTTATGTAAGCAGCATATTGTTAAACAGATATTAAATCAACTAGAGTCATGTTTACTTTGGCAGCACATATAGTAAAACTGGAACACTGAAGATTAGTATGTGCCCTGTGTGAAGATGACATGCAAATTTGTGAAGCATTTCATATTTTTGCAATAGCATCAATTTCTACAAGAATTTTTTGATTTTCTTCTTCAACACTCTAGAGACACATTGGTATGTTTGTAGCATGTTCTTTAACCTGCTGTTGATGAAAATTTACCCTTTTTCCTCCCCATTGTGGACTGTGCATGCTGGTTCTCTATTTAAGGGGATGTATAACAGAAGTGTAGCAGAAACTGACATGTCCAGATGTGCAAAGTACAGTATGCCTCTCTACACCCAGACTAAAGATGAAAATATCCTAACAGTAGGATGCTGGACTTTCTGACATTGCCCATGCCTACAATGTTGGGAATCACTTCAATAACAGCATGATGGACTTATGACTGTTCACATGAAGGACATCCATTGTAAAACTAGAGGGGAAACCAACATAGGGGAGAGGAAAGTTGAGGAAGGGGGGTGGGGTGGGAAAAAACAGAGCCTATGGAACTGTATCATAAAATTAAAAAAAAAAAATACTTTTTAAAACTCAACTACAATCTACATGAATCCTTTTCCCTCCCTCAAGTTTGAGGAAAGCTGTTCCCTGAACACAGTGCAGTGCCTTCAGAAGCTTGCAGAAATGCTGTCAGGGCTTTATGGTGTAGCTGAACCTTGTGCACCAAAGCTCTCAGCAGGGTATTGCTAACAAGTGAATCAGGATGTTGAATTGATTATTTGGAAATCCAAACACAGTTTTCCTAAATCAAAATCCTTTTGGGGTGCAATGTCCCCAAGTTGGGAGTTGTGGTACATGGGGTTAAGGCACTACTTAGGAAAATCACATCTCATTTCAGAGAGCTGGATTCAGTCCTGGCTACTTTGTGCTTTCGATTCAGCTTCTGAATAAAACATTTGCAAGCTATTCATCCAATACAGGGTTAGCATCCAGAATATATAAGGAAATGAAAATCTTCATCAACAAGGACAAGAAATAAACATCAGTGTATCAGTGTAGTTAAGAATTGGATGAAGGATACCGATACACACTTTTCAAAAGAAATACAAATGGTTAATAGTAGCCATCAAGGAAATGCAAATCAAAACCACAGTGAGATGTCCTTTTCAATCAGAATGTCCGTTCTCAAAAAGACAAAATTTATCAAAATCTGGCAAGGGTTTGGCATAAAGAAACCCCTTACATATTGCTGGTGTGAATGTAAAGTAATACTGCCACAATGGAGATGCATCAAAAAACTAACCATAGATGCACCACATAGCCAGCTATCACCCTATCCTCTTCTGGAAATATATCCAAAGGAATTGACTTCCGCATAATACAGATATGACTGCATTCCCTGGTTATTGCAGCATAATTCACAACAGCCAAGGCATAGAATGAACCTAGGGAGCTACAGCTGAAGGAATGGATAAAGAAAATGTAACACACATATATACAATAGAATAGTATTAGGCTAAAGAATGAAATCCTGATATTTGCAACAAAATGGATGGAAAGGGAAGGCATTATGGTGAGATAAGTCAGACACAGCATAACCAATACTACATGTTTTCTTTCATGCATAAAAGTTAAGAAAAATCATTGTGAACTAAAGGCAGTGATTACTACAGGCAGGAAAGGTTAGAAGAGCAATAATGGGAGGCTGGGTAAAGGAACCAGAGTACAAATATAAGCAATCAGTTCTGGTGTTCTACAGAACATTACAGTGCAGTAATATATTATATACTGCATAAAAATTGGAGGAGACGAATGGGTAGTTTCTAAATATGGAGGAGGTTGGGTGGTAGGAATGTTGATTGCCTGATCTGAGAGATTTACACAATGCACATCTGTTGAAATATTGTGAAGTTCCCCAAAATTTGCACACTTGTTACATGTAAATTAGCACACCTAAAAGATAAAGAAAAAATACATTGCTAAATGCTCTCCTAGGCTAGTATATCTGAATCTCTGGTCAAGGACATGGGATTCTGAATTTTTAACCAGTTTCCCAGTGATTTCTATGCACATTAAGTTCTGAGAACCACCGGCTTAGTGTCATTGAGAAGGTACAAAATGCAGGCACCTTCTATGAAGTTAGGCTCAGTAGAGGAGCCTGAGGTCTATAAGGACTATGGCATCCTGGCAAAGCCTCTGCCCCTTTAGCTCACTCACAGACTTTTGCAAGAGCACAAGTTTACCCACAGAATCAGGTCTGAGCCCTATATGCATCGCCATCCCCCACTTCCGTTCTTCTAACGTGGGCCAACGTTAGTCCAGTCTTATCTCCTGTCTCATTTTGGGGACTAGTATTTTTGGGGTTATCCAGTTTCTTAAGGCTCTCCTCACAGTTTGAATTTGGGATAGAGGTGCTTTCCACATAGCATACGCGTTCTGCAGTGTTAACTCTCAAAGGATTCAAAAAAACTTCAGAGAATAAAAATGCAGCCCAGGAATATCCCACCCTGGAGACAACATGCCTGCACGGCTTTTACACATGTTAATAAAAGCAGCTGGCCCTTGACACCCCTCAATCTGAGCATTCTTGGGTGTGTTTTGAAGCCACCCGTGGATCATACAAGTAGAAACAGCAAATGCCAGTCTAATTTCTACCCAACACTTTCCCAAAGCCCTCTAACTCCTTCTCTAACAACAGTGACCTCAAGTCATATGGCAAACAATACTAAAGCATTAAGAGAGTAGTAATTCATTGGACAATGAAAACAATCATTGAAAAACCATTGCTTCCATTCCCATGAGCACTCCAGAGAAGCTATCAACACTTCCATCTCCATAGAGAGTACTGGTTCTCCCCCACTCCAGTACATGAGCTCCAGCACTAGAATACAATAAAGACTGTGTAATGTCACATAGCAATTCCATCATATAGGTGGTGAACTCAGCCTGGACTTTTCTATACATAAGGCCTAAGCCCATGATGAGGAGGTGAGCAGGAGAAAACCAAGCCAGAGTCCAAGGATTATACAGAATTACATATATATACATGCAAATAACATTTCTAAAAGATGCAGTTTGTTATTTGGGAAAATAGGTAAGATGACATTAGATATTAAGAATGTATGCATCTGGGCATGGTGCAGATAGCCTAGAAGATAAAGTCCTCACATTGCATGGGCCAGGATGCCATATGGATACCAGTTCTAATCTTGGCAGCTCTACTTCCCATCCAGCTCCCTGTTTGTGGCCTGGGAAAGCAATCAGGGTCAGCCCAAAGCCTTGGGTTCCTGCACCCATGTGGGAGACTTGGAGGAGGCTCCGGGTTCCTGGCTTCAGATCAACTCATCTCCAGCCATTGTGGCTACTTGGGGAGTGAATCATCAGACGGATCTTCCTCTGTCTCTCCTCTTCTCTGTATATATGACTTTCCAATAAAAATAAATTAAAAATGAAAAAATAATGTATACAGCTGAAAAAAAAAGCAGTAGTTGTCTAAGTATAAGGCACAGAAGCTTGAAAGCCTTAGATTCAGCTTGCCATGTGACATGCAGTCTCTCGGCACTCCTGATTGCTATTTTAAAAGTCTTTATGCCACATTTGGTGAAAAATATTTTAAAATATGTATTACAAAGACATAATTACAGGAAGAGGGAGAGAGACAGAGAAAGATCTTCCATCCAGTGTTTTGTTCCCAAAATGAAACAAGCCAGTAACCTTGAACTCCAAAGACAAGACTGTCATGTGGTTCTTGACTCTGGATGTGTGCTTGTTTCTAAGGCTTACATGTTAGCAGAACAGAAAAGGTGCATTCTAGAATATTTGTTCAGTACAACCAACCCTTACCTACTTCATTATCTAAAATAAATCACATATAGCAAGTTATTAATAGCAACCAAGTCTCCAAGGACAATTGTGTAGTGCTCCAGAGACAGACGGTAGGCAGAGACATGAGCACAACCATGGAAGAGACACACAGTTCTTACTTCCTCTAGCAAGTATCAGACTAAAGCATTTTCCTAAATTTGGGGGCAATTCTTTGTCCTACAGCCAGCCAATTATGTGTTCAAAAATGTATTGTAAGGATTAAACAGTAACAGAATGCAAATAATTTTGCCACAAAGGTGGGCATATCAATAAATGTAAAGTACAAAACTCATATCATGATTTTATAAGAGGCTTAGGGAACTTGGATGAAAGAACTTCCTTGTGTACTCAATCCTAAAACTTTAATCTATTATTTAATTTTCCCAAATAAAGCCACTGTTCCAAATGGCATGACTTTTTGGTAGATATTTCTTGGTCTGTTTTAATTTCTTTCTTTGTCTTCAAATGTGTTTATCTAAGCAATAAACACTTCACACAGCCCTTGCTGATTACTCAGTCTTCAAGCCATCAACCATTTTGATACCAAGGACAGCTATTTGAGTTTTAGGGCAATTTAAAGCAAATGCTTGTTAGGACTTTTTTCAATGTTTACTCAAAGAAGGAAACAGGTCTCCTTGCCCTGCTTTTAGTAAATTCTCTACTTTAACATCATTTGCTTTGAATGGTCTGCAAGGCACAGTTCCCGCTTAGGATGATTCGATCCTTCAGTGACTTGCCTATACAGTATCAGAGAACTTTCAGTATAAACAACAGGACTTAATTCTTGATATGTATACTTTATTCAAACCTATCTAATGTTATAAAAACTTAGACAAATAGTCAAGTTTCCCTAAAACCAAAATTACACATTACAGTATTTGAATGGAAGGTAGGCACACAACTCAGTGTGAGGGGATTCAGCAACACGTACACCAAAACTGGGTTCCGCCCATCCTGCACTTTGCTATTTAATGAAAGTGACAGTGACTATTAAAACTAACTCCAAATTCTAAGTATGAGCTTCTGCAGCCAGAATCTGAGACTTGTATTGTGTCCCAGTGTCTGGAAGGCGTTCAGTGTTGTTTTCCTTGCCAACTCATACTGTTGCGTTGTTGAGCAAAGTATCCAGAGACTGGCAGGGATAGAGTAAAGGAAGAGAAACTCCAGGAGGTGAGGACCAACATAAAGAACCAGCACACAGCTAGCGCCCCCTGTTAACCATCTTCAGTACAAACTACATTCTCA